TCCTGAGTCTCCGTTTCTTGTTCTTGAGTCTCTACAGGTCGTTGGGTATTATTGGAAGTTGCTATAAACCATTAATTAATATTAGTATGTAGATTGCATTCAATCTATTAATGCTTATTAACAAATGCTTCAGTCTATACTTTATTGTATAAATCTACAGAAAGCCCTAAGGGACAATTAAACTCTATCAGCTTTACAAATAAACGCGGTATGAAATTAAACTCAGATTATATATATAAAAGCCAAATTTGTAAGGCTGTAAATGTTGCAGTAAATCAACTATAGTCAAATTCAATAGAATTAAGATAATATATTACGACACTGGCTTACAATGTCATGTATAGTTTTATTTTGGTATAGTTTAGTGTTCAGTAAATCTGCGAGCAAAGCCTTACATTGGTAAAAATATTTAGATATGTTTGTTATTTTATTTTATTTCTATTGAATTTAACTATAATTTCCCCCAAACAGAGTTACATTTAAAACATTAGAGTAGAACGTTAATTACTTTTATTCAATTAAGTAAACTCCATTGTAAACCAATTATTATTAAAACTATCAAAAGTGATTGGTGTATAATTGTCTTAACAATCACGAAAACTTTGCTTACAGATGACACTGTAAAATGATTGTTTATTTATTTATATACAGAAACAGAAAACATTTTAAGTTATAAAGGTTTTAAGTTATCAAGGGTCTATGTTGTAGTGGTTTTGGGCTCTGATGGGAAGGGAACATATTATTTTTTGAAGTTATAGAGGTAAAAACCTCTTACTTACTTACCGAGGTTTGCCTTGGTAACTTAAAAAAGTTACCAAGGCAAACCTCGGTAACTTAAAATACTAAACAAAAACTTAACCACAAAAGCAAAATACAGTATTTTGTATTTTTTTTTTGATGTTTCAAAACTAAAACAATATGAGTAATGTATATTGCAATGCCCATCCATAAAAGCAAACTGTAAATGTTTATTTGGACTTCCACATAAGCTGAACAAGAAGCAATTTATTGAATATTTATAATTATTATGTGAGAATGCAAACGATTACCAACATAACAAACCAACCATTAAAGCATTAATAAATTATTGTTATAAAACCTGCAATGTGATATCAGTTATTTACATAAATTGGTCATAATTCATAATTCTTTCATTTGGTATAATCAAGGAAATCTTAAATACTGTAGGACAGCACACCTAGGGTTGAAGATATCAGAACACTGGCTTAATGATTTATGGAAATATTATTTGAGTTTGGTCCATACAAAGCAAGCGCTCGGTGCTTACACCATATGCATGTTAATATTTTTCCGTAAATATTTGATTCAAATAAAACCAAATTACAAGGTCGATATACTGTTGTAGCGAAAAAACTTGGGCCACTTTATAAATACTAAACAATGTGTGAGTCCATGAGAACTTTTGTTCTATTTTTAAATTTTAAATTGCTTTCGTATGAACAGGCATGGCAATTGCTAGCAATAAAACTTACAATCAATATTCCTATAGAAATGCAAGCGATTATTGTCGAGTACAGCCATGTCCGCATCAATGATACTATCCATTTCCAGCAGAGGTATGACTCTGGAGAAACCTCTGCGGGACTCGACCAATGAGCTCCGAGCACTTGATGCTGTATGAATACAATGAAGGATTGTTAATTGTGTATAGATCACACTCGTTTTATCTGACGATTCCAACATGCAGATGTAATTTCGAAGTTTCACACAACTTTAATTTTCTTTAATAAAAACTAATATAAATGATGCATGGCCTATATGTATATAGAATCAAAGTCATACAAAACCCATGAAGACTACCAATGATTCATCTGGGTAGATGTATGTAGTCGAGTAATTTGACAATATTCAACAATACAACTTAAAAAGTTTTGTACGGTTTACGACAACATGCAATAATAGGACGCAACTTTTAAAGGAAAAAAGGACTTCATAAGAAAGCAATTAATTTGTAAGTGGAACAATACAGATTTTCGCGACTGTACCCGCCCCCCCCATAATCTTTTACATTATGTATACTTAAAATGATGTTATGTACAGAGTCTTGAGCCAATTAACGAGCTGCCATAAAGTTTGTATGTACAGAGATGAAATTAAACAACTAGCAAGTATTTATTGATGGCCATATTAAATTGGTTAAATGACTACAATACAAGAAATACATGGTGAAATTGTTACTTTTAACGAAATACTAGCCGTTGCATTGGTTTTGGAGTTATTTCAATAGATATAAAAATACAAATTTTTCCTCTTTATAATATTTGTATAGATTATTATTTGTATTGCAACTAAGGTAAAGCTTGTACTAGAAGAATTTCCATGACAATAGTCTTGTAAATTGCAAAAATATGTTATGACAACCATAAAGCTACTGTCTCTATCAACATTATTTGTTTAGTGAATTAATTTGAATTATCTTCACAAAGTTATCGCATTATTATGTTGATAACATTATCATGTAAAAATATTATCATTTTATATATCTGTACTAATATAATAAAGTGTAAACACACACTTCTTTGTGTCGTAAGATGTCAGCAATTAATGTATATTTTTGGTTAATTCTTGTTTTAATAAAAAGCCCTGCACTTACGTCATGCTTTAGGCTATATATTTACACTATTAAATTTAGATGGTAAATAAATTGAATAAAAACCCTGATGTGAGATAGAGGCCATAAGGTACAAGCTGCCAACATCAAGGTTGTCATTTATGCATTTGAATTTTGACATTTCACAAATATAAACAATAAAATAAAGTTTTTCTAATTTCACGCGGATGAAGCCGCACGGGACCAGCTAGTTTATAATAAAACATATCTTGTATATCATGTAGATAGCAAAGGTAAAAGTAAATCCAAAAGTGTTAAATAGATTAATTACCCACCAAAATGATTAATAATTTGAAAGTAATGAATACAAAAAATGTAACCATGAAAAGACAAAGCAGTTGTAGTAATTACTCAAAGAGAGGACTCAAAGGAGGACTCCCTTTGAACAATTACCAATGAAACAAAAATACCAATAACCAAAACATCAACCCTTAATTTGATAGTGTTACAACTATTTAAAAAAAAATGTAATGAACAAGTTTAGAGAAAAATATGTGAGATTTTAATGTTTGTGTGTTGGTAACATAATTTTATTTTTGCTACAAAGAATTCCATCTCATTAAGGGTTAAAGCTATAAAATAAAATGTTCATTGTAAAAGAAACATACTGGTTTATAATAGCACAAATTTATATTTTAACAAAGATTATAATAAAAAAGTATACATACAAACAGTCCTTATAGTTCTGGTGGCCCGTAAGTAATTTGTCCCTGGAAAAAAGTAATAAACAAATATAATAGAATTATTACAGGCTAAGGTTTAAATTATTAAAAAAACAATATGAGAATCTTTTATTATAAGTATGAAAGGTTGTAAGGATGTAATTTTGTTCAGATGTTTTAGAGCTTCGTAACTCGGTAAGTCTATAATAGTAAGTAATAGTGGATTGGCTAATTCTTTTTTTTAATTCCACCCAAACAAAGTCAAGTGGCACAACTTTCATATACTTATCTGTCATGCTAAGAATATGGCTTACACTTTTTTTACATTAAAAAGGATGAACAATGTTCATATGTTTATTTACTAAATCATTTTCAGTAAACTTACTTGATCTCAAGGTGATGGCAGCTAATGGTTGATTGGTACGAGTTCTCATCATCATAACGGGCCGGTATCGGTTTGGATGAGCATTTGTTGACCACCATGCTAGGATGCCTACTATAACTAAGAGCACAGATATCACAAACTGCACCACCTCATCTCCCACACCCTCGATCAGAGTCATCGTGTATCAAGCCCCAATCCTGGAGGATAAAATACAATTTTTAACTTTATATCAGTATTTATACACAGAGAAAAACATTACTACCTGTAATCTACCATAGTTGTAACACCTACTACAGGGTACTATGATTTTTTTTATATAAAATGCAAATCGAATCTAGTATTAGTGCCAAGGTTAATAACAGAATATTTTTTGTGATAAACCTTGTACGGATAAATATGTTCCATATAACTTTATTTAATAAAATATACTTCTAAATAAAAGTAATTAATACTTCATTAAAATTAATTTCGTCAGTAAACCTTTGGAATATAAGACATAGTAATCGTTTAGTTGAGATGAATTAGTCAAGGTCATATTCGGCGAACAATTCTTCCGAATAAATATTTACTGATTTAGTTTCATATAAATAATTAAAATTACATATAGATAATTACGAGTAAGCTTTAACTCGTCTTAAAAACATTGAAAACGCAATTCAAGAGACAGTACATCTCGATAATATCTGCAGCTTAATACACTAAAGACGAATAGCACTCAAATTAAAATAATTCATTTCAATAACACTCACTTCTTAAAATACTTTTAGTTAATAATAATTTTTGTACACTATATAAGCAATCAATTTAAATAGAATATATTTAAGAAATTACGCACAGTACCTTTTTATTTTTTTACGATTTTGACTTGATTTTGACAGATAGCTATCATTTGCCTTCAATTCAAAGAGTATAAAAAACATGAATAGCACAGATCTACTAAACTAGAAATTAGTCGTTATAGAATAAAAATACTCTCGATAGATACCTAGAAAGTAGCTGTAGTCTGATAAACTTCTCTGGCCCAATGAGAATAATGCGGTTACTGGAGTTAGCATGTCAGTAAATATGATATGCTGCCTTAGGCCTTAGGTACAGAAAAAGACGCAAGCATAAAAAACATGGATAGAATAATAAAAAGAATGTAGTTCTTTCACAAAATAGTAATTATTTTTACTATTTCACAACAGAGCCCGCTTGAATATCTTCGCTCCAATACCCCGCGCAATACCACTACACAGAAGTAGATTAGAGGCGTCAAATGGAAGCATGTCCCCGTTTAGCTTGATAAATGCCGAAGGAATATTTGTCCTCCTCTCCTTTCCACCCTTTTTGTACAAGGAAAGCGTGATAAAAGGAAGTGAATTTAGCAGGGCATGGGACGCAAAGCTAGAGGAAATATTTCAATGTATCATCGCCAGCTCACTATACGTCCCCACCGAGGGGCTTGGAGCCTACCTTAAAGTTAGGGTGACTAGGCCATAGTCAACCACGCTGGCCAAGTGCGGGTTGGTTGACTTCACACATATCTTTGAATTTCTTCGCTGATATGTGCAGGTTCCATCACGATGTTTTCCTTCACCGTAAGAACGTCGGGTAAATAATGTACATATGAAAATTCGAAAAATCGAAAATCATATTGGTACATGGCGGCGGGATTCGAACCCAAGACCTGTAGATTACAAGTCAAGTGCTTAAGTTGCTATGTCTACGGGCAAAGGTTACTTCGATGTTTAGGCGAATTTCTGTGAGTGCTCTCTTTGTACTCTCGTTGTGCACCTTATTTCTACTAATAAAAAGCAGCATAATATTGATGCAATCAAAATTACGCATTTAATACACATTCCATGCCTATGTTACATATAGGTCCATACAAATGCAGGCTCCTTTACATTATTGGGTATAATAGGTTATGTTTTTACTGAAACCGTATAGGATAGGCTATACATAGGTATATATTAATACGTATTTAGTTACCTAGGGTCACAATTGATGAAGTTGCATCATCCAGATATTAGAAAGAGACAAATGTATGGGGGAAAAAAGAGATAACAGATTTTGCATGCTTTCTTATTTCCATTTCATTTCACGCATAATTATCAAGAAAAACAAATGTTCCATTTATTTATCCTATCGTAAAAGTTTAATTTTAAATTAAAATTATTGTGGGATTTAATATTTTAGAGACATCTAAAAAAATGCTACATTTTTACGTACTGCGCTTCTTTACACTTTCGGAAAACTTTATGTTGTATGCCGTGAAATGAAACGTGTGTGACGTGTGCGAAAAAGTAAACACAATTTTTGCATGCATGCCCTGATTGCCGGTTTCCGACCGTCGAAATAACAGATGATTCAATTTCTTCTAAAGTCATTGTCATTTGTTTGCGACTTGGCACAGTGTGCGAAGTGCGAATCGCTTGTGTTTTGTGAATAACCCGGTTATTGCTAAATATTATTTAAAAATACATGGAAGACCAGAAAAACTATGAAAATATAAATCTAGTTTTCTGTTTTAATCAGAAGATATTTTTTTTTTCGTTTTCATTTGTTTTAACATAAATTTTGCAGTATTCGATTGTTTTTTGTTTGGTAAATTTTATTATCGGTCTTATCATTGTTAAGACCTCCGCCAGTTATTTGTTTACCAAAAGAAGAAACGTTAACAGAGGAAAAAAAGAGTGGAAGATTTGGAAGGAGTTTAACATGATCTTCTCGTCCACAAAACAAAATAATCAACACATATATAACGATTTAAACTCGAATACAAAATCACACAAACACGTTGGTTCACTTCGGGTGAACTTGAATTGTATAAGAAAAGATAAATTGAAAAAGTTTAAGACATCAATATTCACAAGACATATTAAAATGTAAGTACCTATCTTTTTTAAAAGCTTGTTATATTTTTAGTTATTAAATCTGTATTTAAGTTTTACGAAAATGTTATGTAGGTATGCCATCAGGATGTGAGTATAACATTTTAAATTTAATGAGTATAAAGTTATTTCTCATATAAAATTATGATGGTTCACGTAAGAGTCACATGATTTCGACAATCGTCATGTGCAATTTCATCGTGTAAAAGCTAACTCATTATGTAAACATACCTTGTCGTTGTCGTGAATAGTTAACTCTTAAGTAAACACTATTAATTTGACTCGGATTAAATGATTACTAGGAAAATTTCCATTCGTTTTTAAAAAGAAACATATGTTAAATAGTTTAAGGCGCTTGATTTTACCTTTACTATCTAAATGTTGGATTATTTTTTCATACAATAGCCTAAATTTAATTGGAAATTGAGTTTAACGCCATCTAGTTTACAAATTGAATATAATTTAAAGTTGTGTGGTCTTTTGTTTTTAATTAAATTGATAACATTTTATTTTGATTGATTATCGTCATACTTTGATAGACATGATTGCCATAATTGAGTTTCTGACTTCCGAACCTTTGTCGCCATTATAGCACATTATTATGTTTAACACACGAATAATCTTTTATTTTCCACGTGCTTTTATTGATTTATTTGTAGACGATTTGATGCAATTGAAATTTCAGAAAAGAAGTATTTTATTAATCTACATTTTATAACATTTGGTCACAAAACTTAAGCACTTTATATGAGAACAGGCAAGTGTATTGGTGGTGGTATAACTTATGTGTATTAAGAAAACATTTATTAAAAAAAGTGCATGTTATTCCCTTAAGTTGAGAATCTAATTATGAAATCTGCATAAAAACGCAAACACCAATAACTAATTCTTTCTTAAAATGTTCAATTCAAATTTAACAGCATTTTTTATTACGTTTACGATGATTGATGACTTGATGACAATTTAGCGGAAGCCAATAGCTAAATCAGTACAATGACCTATGGCTAATATTATTTTACAGGCGCATAAAAATATCGCATAATTCTATCCTAATTTTTTTAAATTATTAAATCGCTTGTTATTCGTTTTCTTTACATCGTTTTTTGTAACAGTATTTAATAAAAAAAAAACGTATTTCTATGTCAATACAATGATCAATAGTAGTAACATTTATAGCTCGATATAGTTCTTTAATAAAATATTTGATTTAGCACGTCGGGCACTACAATATACTTGTTTCCTTCGTGCCAAGTGAAATATCAGAAACTGAGGTTGCGTTTGAAAGTATCCATGACGACTTATAAAAAAACCTCAAGTCAAGAATTTCGAAATAGAATTCCACATATAAAAAATGTTGAATGTTTTTCACCGACAAAAACCAATAACAAATATCTAATCTGTCTTTATCGTAATCGCAGTAGACATTGATAACAAGCCTTATCAATTTGTTATAGAATCTGCAAGTCTGATTATTACCGGAAACGATATATATTTTTAAAATTATAGATATACGCTTTTGTATATCTTTTGTGTTGAATTCAAAAAGAGATGGATGGATTGCGTAAAAGGTGACATGATCGAAAAGGGAGTGATGACTGAGATGACGTATGATAGAGTTATTTGGGGACAAAAAGCTGTTGCTCGCATTTCTACACGCCTGTGGATTTTTAAAACCAAAAAAAATAATAACTACCACATTCCAAGATACTTTTTCGTCACAAATGTAAGCCCTTCGTGTAAATTTTTCATACTAAAGTCAAATATGTAAAGAAAGAATGATTTGACATAATCCATGCCATTGAATGGACCATTCACTCTACAATCTTAATCAAGTAGAATGGTAACACGTAGTCGAATGACGCAGCGAGATTTTGTCGGCGCCAGGCACGAGAGGCCCCGTGGGTGAGGAACCGTAGTTGTGTGTCTAGACATCTCACGTGTATTTCAGGTCTCTACGCCATGTTTAGTTATTAGTCAGTTGCCCAAAGAATTTTAAGGAAGTATAAACAAATAAACACGAATAGTTTTTAATCATTTCTGCGTTAAATATTCTGTACTTTATTTTAGATTTCTTTTCTATTAATTATACTAATGTAAACTCGCTTGCTTCGTAGTTTATATAATGAGATGTATGTTTTGTTTATTGAAAATTTTCCACACAATAAATAAAGTAAGCTATTTAATGATTACATAAGTATACGATAATAAAGACTATTATAAAATAGATCTTAAAGCAGAAGTGGCGAACCATTGGCACTCCTGCTATTAGTGGACTGCGACATATTTTGGGTCGTCAACGATCAGTAAATACACTATGCTCTCGTGAAAAAGTATAAAGTAGGTATTACAATAAAGAGCGAAAGCGATGTGACCACTATGCGAAAGAATGTACCCTTTATTGATAAGGTTTAAAAAATTAACGGCACGTTAATAAATAGTTCACAACCCATGATTTGGAGCAATGCAATCTAAGGTTATCTTAAATCATGCATTTGTTATTGTTTGATGTTCTTTTGTCTACTGACATTATATTTCAAGCTTTATTAACATTTGAATTTTCATTTAATAAAATTAAAATGGTTTGTAATAAATAACGGGGGTTTACGTTTTAGATTGACTAGACTTTTTAGACTAGTAATTTATTTCAACTATCACGGCCAGATACCGACTCGCCTGGCGAGTTCTTTAGTGAGTGGCATGAGCCATGGAATGTGTTAATTAAATAACATCTAAAGTATTTTTGTCAAGCTTCTCCTGTCCTATTGGATTGCCTGTAAAATATTGCTAATAGCAATATGGCCTTACGCAAATATTGTAGTAGCCTAGTTTTAGTAAACTTAAACTTAAATATTTGTGCAAAAAGTATTGAATCTGACTTTTTACTAATATCATAAATGCGAAAATTTAGATGGATGGATGGATTTTTGTTAGAGTTTGTAGCCTAAACGGCTGAACGGATCTCTGAAAGTTGACATGGACGTAGATAATATGGAAAAACACATAGGCTACTCATTTTTTTTTAATTCCACGCAGACCTAGGCGCGGGCGAAAGCTGTTAGTAAATAAATAAATCATAATCAAATTAAAAGAGTATGTGTTTTTATAAGATGATTTTGAAGATATTAAATGAATCATTAGTCAAAAAGTCTTGCTAACATTGGCTTTCCTCTGTGTGGAACATTGAAATGTATTAAATGAAGCCGCTACTGACCTTGTAACGTAGGAACGGAGTCAAGGTTTCATGACGTACTTCTTTCAGACGTTATACTATCTATGTAGGTTTATAATACAACTTAGTGAAATTGTACACATCGTCATTACAATTTTGATATGTTTGTCCTTGCTGCGTTCCTAAACCACTGTTCAAACTTTTGTAAGATGTTCTGGAGACACCAGAGAAGGTTTGTGCCCTAAAATAAATGTGAAAAATCGAAATAATTTTTTACTTTTCTCAAAATTGGTTACATCATACTGAAACTAAGTTTTGACGGTGGTATTGAAACATAATAACGAGTTAGTCATTTATTTAACAAAAATACTGGCACATTTATAATAGTTGAAAAGTCAAAACATTTTCCCAAGGTGACGCATCCTCGATCATCTGTTCAGGTTGAGGTCATTCACCTTACCGACAGGAATGAATAATTGTGTATAAAAAAAATCAATGAACAAGTTGTAATAGTCATACAATACTGGGTGAAATGAAAAACGTGGTTTGGAAGATGCAATGTAGGACTTTGTACCCTACTAATATGATAACTGCTTTTGATTATCGTAAGAAGGCAAACGTGCAAGCAGCCACCTGAATTCTCTAAAAGTGACCGCTTCTCATCGACATCCGCATATGCAGACCGTTACATTTATAATCGATGTTTCTCATTCACAATGCATCTACTCCTCCGTCAAATCCACTTCACCTTCCAAATTTTTCCTATATGAATGACAATTTTATGTACCATAAAGGCACTTAAAAAACATGATTATAATCATTGTTTCGGTGCCATAGGCTTGCTAATTAAATATTACCTACAAAGCCATTAGCAAACATTTATTTATAGCATTTATTTCATAACTGTCATATAAAATGGATCTAAACAAAGAAAACATAATGGTTTTCCTGCAGTCGATTCATTCAAAGCCAATTTACCCGTATGATGTAATGGATAAATCGAAGAGGCGGATATTAGGTAAAGTTCGTTCAGTCCACGATTAGTTAGATAATTATTAGATCGTATTTCTAATCATGATTGATTGAAAACACTACCTACTATCAAAAAAATGTAATTCTACTTCTATCTAAGGAAGAGAAGATCTGATAATTAAATCAGTGTTTTGCCTAACTTTGAGACGATGACAAACAAAAATAAACAGGTTTATGCTATTCATTGTCATTTATATACAATTATACGTCCGTGATACTAAAAACATTAACTTCGAATATTTGTTTCCGAGAAGCGGTAGCTGCTAAATGACGACTGGTTTGTTTCTAATGACCTCGTTTTAAAACGTTTTAAGTAAAACATATTGTAGGGCATTCTTTGAATATTATAACGATTTGATCACGCACTTATGTATTCGCCCACGTATCGACATCTCTCTTGGTTTCTTTACAAATAATAGAGAAAACAACATTATTTTACAACGGGTATTTCATCAATGAAAACTCATGGATTAACACATTAGAAACATGGACATTCTTCTAAATAAACTTGAATAAACGGAATGAACATTCGAAGGTCGCGTAATCATAAAGGGTCAAGTTTGTAGAGATTTGATTTGCCGTTTACATAGTATTGCATCATTTGCTCTCATAAATCGTGGTTCGCGACAGTCAAAAGACGTATCCTGTTAGACTTAGACCACAGGGAAAGTATACAAGGCATTTTTGTAAGCTCGCTTGCTTACAAAGAATTTAATTGAATATAATCATCATTAACCTTTCTCTGCCCACTGTTGGATTCCCCAATGTCTTCCTCAAAATACGAAAATATCAATATCAAATTGAAAAGCGTTGTAATTAAAAAAATTTTTGGTAACCTTTATTTTCTACTTGGTGTTTTTAATATGTCAATATAGTCTCTTTCTTGTTTAACTCTTTTCTTATAAAGAAAGGATTGGATAGGAATGTGGATTTGACGGTGGAGGAGACGCATAGGAAGGGGAAATATCCTTGTTATGTGCGTCTCCTCCTCCGTCGATTTAAGGTAGGCAACGCATCTGCAATTGAGGATGTATATGCGCAGCGGTCGCTTCGCCGTTTTGGCGGATTTACATAGGTGGCCGCTTCCTCGTTTGTAACCTTATTGTACAAAAAAAAAAAATAAAAGACAAAATACCAAACTGGGTTTACGTCTTTCTAGAATTAGAGAGCCTCCTAAAAGGAAAAAAAGCCAAGTATATGTAAATTACGACTTAGGAACCGTAGAAATGTGTTTCAAAATTTTAAATAAATTCTTCTCCAAAGCAATTTCATATTCACAAACAAAGTAACGTTATCATTTAGAGGTTGTTTTATCTAAAAATCAATACGATAGGAACGCGTCGAGGATTTTTCCATGGTATTATATACTGATAAATGTAAATGTTGTGCTGGTACTCTCAGGTAATAATTATGCACGCAAACATAATTATTTTAAATACAAGATGGCGTCGATTGATGCTATTGTCGCTTTGTTATTGATCGTGTTTATGTTCTATGCCGGAGGTTCCCAAAGATTTTAACTGGAAAGTTTTTTAATTGCTATTTACTCAAACTCAATAGTTGATTTCGAACCGAATAGTTCCGATCTTTAAAGTAATGTGCGGTTCACACTTGGCCGGTGCAGTTGGACAGTCCTAGATTGTATGAACTCTCTGGAATAAGTAAGCGATCAACTTTGCCAGTTGATTGCCAGTCCAGTTATTGAGCGCTATTGTCCTTTATCGGCGAAGTATAAACCATTTTAATGTAACAGATACGAACTTCTATTTTGTAATCATAGTAGAAGTTAGAAACAAGTTAAATGGCTAGTTTTCCTTTAGATGACAGACAGTGATTTTCTTTTTTGTGTCTCATAATAATCTGCATGAAAGAAGTAAATATTACAATTCCTTTAAAACACTTGGGATGTACTGAAATATTAAAAAAAAATCCATTATATACTAAAATGTAAAGCATTTAACGCAGTTTATTCCTTAAATCCTATAATTCCGTGTTGAACATTTTAAAACCGGTATGTTAAGAGAAAGTAACACAATCTTTATCAACGGATTTTCCATACGTGAGGAAGTAAAGCCTTTGACCTGAATAACAGTTACTTTAAGAAATGTCATCCTTAAAGTACAAATATATACTTTTTTATTCTTTTTTGGATGGCTACAAAGGAAGAGGAAGACCGAAGACCGAAGAAAGTATGGATGGATTGTGTGAAAGAGGATATGCTTAAGAAAGGAGTGGATTCAGTTATGACGGCTGATACAGATGTATGGAAGAGCACATACTGTGCCAACCCTCCATAAGGGATAAGGGCAAGTTAATGAAAGTACAAGTATATACTTTTGTGAGCGGCAATGAGGTTTCTATATGATTTTTATACATATTTTACCAAGATATACGTTTGATTAAAAATCTATATTATATGTCACAAAACTTTAATAGCAGATGTCTTAAATTAATTAGTATTGTACTTCGATCAAAGTAAAATCGTCGGAACATGGTAAAACCCTGTTTGGTATTTCGCGACCAATATCATAATATAGAACTATAAGTATATAGTAAAAGTTTTTACCCACTGCGAAACACGAAGATCTCGTGACTCGTGCCAATAAAACCATCTTATTGGTTGTTTAAGTTGACGTCATTTGAAACAACCAATAGCGATGCGGCCGAGATATTTTTAGAATGCTACGCTACGGTGGGGATTGAGGAAAACTGTATGAGGGGCTTTCGGCGCGAATGTTGCACAACGTTTTCTGAATCGCTACTAAGTGCGCGCATGCCAAAACTTTTAATAATTTGTAATTTAAAATAAAACATATTTAATTAATTTCACACTTGCCTTCTAAGCGTTTTACACAATTTCAAAGTTATCTCTTTTTCATTGATTTTAAAGAGTGACTTTTCTAGAAACTACTGGAGCAAACCGAGAATTCCCTTGTTTTGAGGTGAGTTATTTTTGTTACATTTCAACGAAGAGACTGTGGTTCTGGGATAGTTTGTGCAAAATAACATTTCTCTATGAAAAACAAGATTTAATGCGGACTTTGCTAAAAAGTGTAAATTGCGTAGAAGCTATATGATACGACGACACATGCTCGAAACTTTAAAAGCCATACAAGTTGCGTACATGTTACAACCTGTCACGAGCATGCTTTCTTTTTTTACGCATAAATTTACATGTCCTCATATAATTTGTAATACCGAATTAGTACATTAATAATCTAAATCGATGAATTCACGTAAAACATTCATTTTATCAAATATTTTTTTTTATTCGTAGTAGTCAAATAACTTTCCATATTTTATTAATCTTGTGGAAGTAGTCTTAAAATCTTTTATTCAATATCTCTCATACTGATATCGGATCACATAATTTTATAGTATTTTCACCCTTGTTTGTATTACTATACGTATCTATATTCTGATTAGATTTATGAATCATTCTTCGAATTAACGATATTGTATAAAAGTACCAACGTAATCGACACAACATAAATGTTCGGTCCTTGAGGTCGCCTACAGATAACAAAAAGTAATTAAGCTGATTGACGCCTACATACACATTATTGATAAAAAATACGTAGGTATAAAATTATCAGTGAATCGAATAAAGAATAATGTACAATTAACAAGATAAGTAAGCTTTTTACTTTAATTTGTCTCAAGTCGTAGTTTTTATAAGAACCTTGAGATTTAATAACCAGTTTTATAGACACGAGAAAGGTAGAAGACATTAATGAGTCTGCTTTTTATCGTCCTCATTTGTCTCATGAAAAACTATAAGGATCAAGTCGTATCAGTCTTTAAAAATAGTTTACTCATAAAGTAAAACTAAGTTTTTAGATACTTCATAATTATTACATAATATTTTTTGTCTCAATATGGTTACATTTACAAATTGGCTATAGGAAAATAAAAGTCAATTGAGGTCATTTTTAGGTTTTCTTTAATAACAAAAGATTAAACTGGTTAAATATGTACTCTGACTCGCTTCGGAAACGCTGGGTTTTTCCCGCGTGCAAAACGATCAAGCGTCGATTTTAGCTGTAGCTGCAATTTCCGTCCATCCGCCATATTTAATACGAGTCTATTGAATGCTTACAAAAAAATATCTCTATGTTCAATTCAAACGTAATACAATGAACTTGTGACAAGTTGATATTCTTGTAAATATGTATTTGTATTATTAAAATATTTTTCTGTTTGTTGCAGGCCTACAACGGTGACAATTGCTTGGCAAGGAGCCTAAAGAGCTAAGATTTCATTAGGGACTCAAGAAGAGTTCAACAAAGTAAGTTGCCCCGCTACGGCGGACCTATTTCCTTAAACCCTATTCTCTGTTACAGGTGTCGAAGATAGAACATTGAAAATATAAGTATTTTGTTTTATATAAAATATGGATTATTGCAAAAAAATCCAATTTAATAAAAACTTTATGAATTAAATAATAATAAAGATTAAAAGATTGTTAGTTAATTTATATCAGGAATTATTATGTTTCGTTCTTGTCTTTGATATTTCTCTATATTATTGAGTTCATGATCGTTCAGCATTTCGCATCGTATTGTTGAAACATGTCGTAAACAGTGGTTTTGGACATTATTAATAACCATCTCGAAATTCTAAATTATCATCTCGCTTTATTTTTCTATACAATTTACGGTTTACAAAGTTTCGGTAAACGTAGGAGAGAATGTTTCGATAAATATTTTGAAACAAGATGGATGCGACTTTGAGACTTAAATACACCAACAATTAACTTTACAATACTAATAAGGCAAATGGCACAAAACACTACAAAACAAAATAGTATAAGTAACTTAACAACACCTATTTTCCTTACATTTCACAGATTTGGCCTAACATTTTTTTTACTTTACTTATTTGGCAATAAGTTACTAACATATCCTCTAAGTCCTAAATCTTACTAACATTATATATATTAGTAAATAGGTAGTAATTACTTTAATTAGGTTAGTTAGCTGATAGTTAAAATAAATAGTTATAGTTAGCGATAATCTTAAATTAACTCTTTTTGCCTAATAAAAATTAAGAAAATGAAAGGTGAAACAGATCTAAACCGACATTTTTATGTCGGACCAAAAAGTGAACTGAAGTGGGCAGGTGATGACAAGTTTGCAACCTCTGTAACAAATGTTCTATGTGTAACAATAAAAGAAAATAACACATAGTTAGATTTAGAGAAAATAATATGAGCGAACTTTCAACGGTGCTTTTTTTTAAAAAGTTTATAAAAACTTTCCATAAAAGCACGAAATAGACACAAACATTGTGCTGCATCACTTCCCTTATAAAGTTCACTATTCACTATTAAAATATATATTTGTATTTGAAAGTATTATTTTTGTGTATTCGATATATATTTTAGTATTCCTTCGACATATCTTTATATACATATATGCAATCAGAACTCCTCTTAATGTCATATAAAATATTATCTGCATATCTACTTTATTTCAATACATTTACATATAATTATAAACTCGGCTCAAGGTTCTCTATCTTGTGACATTTAGGAAACGTCCGCGACCAGCGCCTCTACGCCCAATAGTTGCTATGCCTGTTTACGTCACGACACACTCATTATATCATTATCATTATCGTTCATTATATTACATTACATCTGACAATGTTCTCTGCCGTCATCTCGTCTCGCCGCCTAACCCCAGCCTCGCCTCTCCTTTCCCCGCTTCATACAAATATGCACATTATGTTACGTCGTATCATTTTTGTTTGTAGTTCTATACAAAATGGTTGCTCAAAAGATCACCTGTCCGAGTCGGAGCGACGATATCGGAATCAATCAGTTCAACTCAAACACCAAAAGATATGGTTTTTTCGCAAACGAGTCACAAGACTCAAAGTATTTTGAAAGTGGTAGAAATAGATCTTTTAAAGGCAGAAAAGAGTCAACAGGTGAACGGCACGACCGGAGTGGTTACAGACAGACGCACAGTCGCGACGCCGTCGCCTGCCGCCGCAGCCAGCTATTCCGAGGTAAGCGAGGGCCCGCTGTCGTGAGTACATAATATATTAAGTTACATTATTATTTAATTTTAGTTTATCTTTTAGTATTTGCCAACCGTAGGAAGGGACCTTATTAACATACATTTTGTGGATTCCAGGTATTTCTGAAAACGGAGCCCGAATTCCCGAGCACAATGACTCACGAATCGGACTACGAGTTCTTCGAAGATTTGGCTCAGTGGTGCGCCGCTCCCGCCGCGGCCGCATCGGCACAGTCCATTGGTGAGTTGGCGCACCTTCATTTGCATAGCGATATTACTACATAGCCCAAATACTCGTAATTATCCTGCGTGTCTCCTTTCACAGACATCCCGAATTATACTGAAGACAGGGCACACAACACTGACACACTGCACACACCGTTCTCGCCGCAAGGCTGGGACGTTTTCGACGTTAACTCTTCGGCCCAGGCAAGCTTCTACAAGCCCGTCGCCGACCCGCTCTCCCCGAGCGCGGACGGCGCAGTAGACTTTTACACTAAATACCCATCGCTCGACCACGAGAACAAGATTCCCTTCTCCGAGCAGTTCCTAGACATCAGCAGCTTGCCTGTGGTGATAGAAGATTTAGCGTCGAGAGGAGCCGCCGGTATGGCGTCGTGGGAAGTCCCGGCGCCGACCGGCTGGCACGCACACGACACAGAACACAACAAAAACAACACCGACATACACAACACTATGCCCTTTATCGAAGAGGACTCCCTGGATATGAAAATGGTATCGGTTATACCGCGGGAGGTGGAGAGTAATAACGTAGTCATATCTGAGTATATCTTAAACGACCACCGGGACCTGGTCGACGGCGCCGGGCCGGGGCGCGCCCGCGGCCTCTCCGTGGACGTGCCTGGCGCGACGACGACATCATCAGCACGCCGGAGGTGCTCAACTACGTCGAGCAGCTGGAGACGGAGAAATGTACACTTCCCAGCCCGGTAAGCAGGAAATTGACACTCACTCAACTTGTACCATCATTCCCCCTCCCATCGCAAATATCATATGATCGACGACCAACTGGTATTCCCCGGGGCATTTCAATGTCAGAGATGATAACTTTACTAAAAATAAAATTTGATGTTAAGGTTATAAAAAGCTTACGAACGGACGTAACTTGTTGTTTCAGACGCCTGTAGCACCCGACTGGCCGACGCTGGACGCGTCCACGGACAGCTTTACTAAGGCGGAAGCCTCGCCGCCGATGGACTATGAGCCCATCACACCCAAGTCTGAATCTCACAACGACGTCGAATCAGATAACGATGACAGCAAATCTTACTCCAGTAAGAAACGTCGCGACAGTGAAGATTCAGACACGACGTACGTGCCGTACACGGAGCACTCGCCGCGCCGCTACAGGAAGAGGAAGCCCAGCATTCCCATCAAGGACATGATCCGAGCGCTGGAGGGCTCGCAGCAGCTCAAGCCCACTCGCCGCGGCCGCCCTCCCAAACGCAGGGAGAGCGCCGTCTCCTCCGTGTGCAGCGTGGACGAGACCTCCTCCTCCGCCTCCACACACGAACTGCGCTACAGGGAGCTTAGAGACAAAAACAATGAAGCATCCAAGAGATCGAGAATGAATAGGAAGTTAAAGGAATTACAAATGGAACAGCTGGCGATAGAATTGGAGGAGAAGAATAAGAAATTAAGGGTCAGAGCTGAGATCCTGGAAGAGATGACGAAGAAGATCCGCGCCGACTTCATGGCGGCGGTGTCGCAGAACCGGCTGAACAGTTAAAGCTGACGGACGTCTCGGCCTGATGAGATTAAATGCAATTTATTTGTATAAATCTATATTCGTAGATGATGCCTGGCGCGTTTCGGATGCTTGAATATTTAGCGGTAATTCCGTGATTTCTGTGAATATGGGTTGTACATTCACAATCTACGTATCTTTTTGTTTGCTTCATTGCTTAACATAATAACCTTTACCCGGATGTGACAAAAAGACGAGTCTTCAGAAAAGAAGAACGTCTTCACGTATGACACGGCGATGTCTTTTACATTATTGTAGTCTACCATAAGACTAGAACAAGAATATCTATTTCTTAAGATTTTAATTATGTAAGATTGAATTTGAAAAATACAAAAAAAAATATCAACATTTAAAATATTATATTTTTAACACTTAAATGTTGATCATTGTTTTATGAATTTGTTAGTGTTCCGAGACTACCTCGAATTTAATATTAAGAACACATTTGATGTAAAAATCAAATTTACTTACATACATACAACTAAAATGATTTTTACTTAATATTTTTAATTATATGCATTGGTTATTTTTTTTCTAAATAATGCATGATATTTGATTGGTATAGCTTTTTATCTTTATGTTGTATTCAAAATAAATGATTTGAAATTGTTGATATTGCTGTTTTATTTATCTTGTTTGTCTTTCGTGATCTAAACAAGCTGGTTTCAGATATTGTTTCCTAAATCAGTGAAACATTTTTACACGAGAAATCTTGACGTATCTACGACGATTTTCATATTAAATGAAGGTTTAAAACCGTCTTCAGTTAGATAATTGGTATAAGACATTTTATTTTATTTGCATGGATACCAAATCCTTGAACGTGAGGTAAAAGTTCAAAACTTAAGGTGGAATCAAAAGACCGATTGTACTTAAGACCAAATTCTTATCAAAAGGACAATCCTTTTAGACGAGGGGTTATAAATGTGGAGGAAGGCACGAAAAATTTACCCAAGAGCGGTAGAGAAAAGTAATATTGGTAGTTTGTCTAAAAAAGATAACTAGATTAATTTTATAAATGACGCATGCGAAGTGTTAAATTAACTTTCTATGAAGCTCTATGCCGTACTTAGACAGTTATTTATTTATCGAACTTAACTAAAGGATCAAAATAAAATCATCTTTGGCTGTAAAAAGAGTAATTTATTTTAAAACTCATAATGAGACAAATGTACCAAAACAAAAATTTTTGAGATAATACAAAGAAAAATATGTCATGATTGACATTTTTAAATCAAAAAAATTATTTGTGACCAGGCCTCTACCTGTAACACATAGGTATCTTAGTTCCGCTCGGCATTATTACAATCATAGAATAAATTTCATTAACAGATGGTGTTTAACAATTTTTGAATATAAACATAAATAATACAATTAAAATTCTAAATAATAATCTAAATCGACTAAATACTTTATAATAGACATATACTAAAATAAAAAAAAAAAAATGGTTTCCCTATTGTTGCATAATGGTATTGCTTATTTAGCTGTATTGAGTCCAAATGAGGCAGTCTACAAATAGCACAAGTGTGTGTTACACTGCCGATCATACAGACAGACAGACAGACGGAGTCACACAGCACCATTACCAAAAACCTGTATGAGAACAATCATAGGAATTATCAGCATTTATCACGACCACATTCTTTTAGCCGTTCACAGGACATTAACAAACCCATAGAAAAATTTACACCATTTCAAGTCCACAAACAAAGCCCCAGCCTTTACACTGCTCTCTGGAAAAATTATTGCTTATTTCATCACTTCATGAAGACCAAATAATAATTAGTCTTGAAAGTCAATAACATTAAAAATCTCTATTCACATTAAATATATCTTTCAAGTTCAGGAGAGTTGTAAGCTATATTTCCATTTAACTTTGTAGTTTCCGTTGAAAGTCAGCATAAAGGCTGGGGCGGGCTCGAGGCGGTGGCGACATACACAATATACACGCTATCACACCGCACTATAAACCGGGTCCTAGCACAGTCTTGTCCGTGTGCAAGTTCCGTGACACTACACCGATACTCGTTAATTTACACTTTACACAGAGTCAGGGCGCAGCGGGGCCACGCCGTGGGTTATTCCAACGCCACGTCCTCGGCCTCCTCAAGGTAGCTAAATTTATTTGAAGCCACAAAGTTCTGCAAACATAAAGAAAACAGTATTATTCAGGAGAGTATTTAGCAACAGGGTTTTATAAGTAGAGAATCATACAAAACTTTGAACAAATAAATGTTTGTTATATGAAACGATTGACAAATCCTCGCTAAATTGGCAAAGATGTAACACATATTATTTGGTATCGCGCTGACTAAGTTACGGGCAAGCCAGCACTGAATAATTAATAGAATATAGATTTTTGCGAAATATTTGACTTTCCGAAGAGATACTTAGGATTTAGATTTCTATTTCTTTCTGTAGAAGCTATATGTAGATATCCTCCACTCACCGGTTTCTCCTGTTCCTTCAGCTTGGGCAGTGGTTTCTCCTCCTTGTCGTCGTGCCTGTCGCGGCCATTCTGCTCGCGGTCTCCGTCGCGGTCGGGCGAGGGTTCCCGGCCGTCGTTCCTGGGGCGCTCGTCGCGGTCTCCGGAATAATCCCGCTTGTCCCTGTCACGGCTGTAGTCGCGGTTGTCGCGGTTGTCGCGATTGTCGTCCCTGTAGTCACGTGTGTCCTCTTTAGAGTAGTCTCGCCTCTCCCTCGAATCCCGGCGCTCCCTGTTGTCTTTAGAATAGTCGCGTCTGTCTCTTTCTTTCGAGTAGTCGCGTCTCTCTCTATCGTCTTTCGAGTAGTCGCGTCTCTCTCTATCGTCCTTGGAGTAGTCGCGACGCTCTCTGTCTTTCGAGTAGTCGCGTCGGTCCCTGTTGTAGCTGCGAGAATCTCTGCCGCGGTCTTCTGCTATTAAAAATACACTTGGGTTAAAAACTGATTATGACTACATAAAATTCTTGATTTACATTTATTGTAAAAAACTTCACTAAAATATATCTTTGAAATTGTTAACTCACCTCGTCTGCCACCGCCTCGCCGGTCCCCGGAATGGTCATTCTGAAACATAAATTAAACTATTTAGCAGTGCAAAATAATTTATATACAAAACTTTAAAATTAATGCCTCTTTATTGCACTATTCTATATAATGTATTCATAAAATTAATCTTACTTCATACTCAATGTATTTTAGAAGTTTACTCTAAAACAATAAATTTGCATGAAAGTGACCGTCGAAATAAAACTTACTAAGTTTTTTTTTTTAATAATTTGTGTGCAAAATCGTGGGCAAAAGCTAGTAAGATAAACATACCCTTCTACCCCAACGTTCCTTTTCCTCGACAGCACGTCTCGCTTCCTCTTCTTGTTTGCGAAGACGTTCTTCAATCTCACGTTCTCTGTTACAAAAATGTACCTATTAATTGTAATTCATATATTTTATATTTCCTTCCTTATCGTTATATATTTGTCGGTATATAGCGACCACATCAGGCATTTGGCTTGATGAGGTGTCTTAGTAACCTTCAATATAGCACAAATAGAGTTAAAACTCGCAATAATGTCGATATAGGAATCGAAATAATTGTGTAATGTGCATGTGGAATATAACATTGAGGGCTTGTCCCACCACTGGCTGATAGAGGCCCAGATAGCTATAAATGACATCTATTCTAAATTACATCCAGATCCATTCAGCTGTTTAGGCTACAAACTCTAACAGACATCCATCCATCTAAACTTTCGCGTTTATAAAATAAGTAAGATGGATGAATCTGTAGGAGAATATTTAGTATATCTGCAGAAACTTACTTAGCAGCAGTATCGACAGGTTTAGCAGCTCCGAACACCTTCTCAGCTGGTACAGGTTTGGGCTTGTCCTGTTTATCCTCTGCGCCCTCCGAAGCCCGCGGCGGCTCCGTCTCCAGCGGCACCGTGCGCGGGAGAAGGTTCAGCTTCGGACGCTCGCGAGGTTTGCTTTCTGATAATTAACAAAAAATTACAAATAAGACATGTGGCAATGTAGAAGCAATTCCAGTCGAGTGTGCGTGCATGAGAACTAATTGTAGTCCTCTTCCACCATTTTCTTATAAGTTGGGATAAAAAGGGAAAGTGAATTTGACAGAGAAACTCATAGTGAGGAAAAATATCCTATTTGTATAAATCCCCTCCATCTATGGCTATGGGTAACTATTTGAAAATGTTTATAAAATAAAGTTGTTAATTTACCTTCTCTTGGCGGAGGATCTCGGTCGCGGTCACCAAATCCTCTTCCACCGAAACCTCGGCCTTCGCGACTTCTGTAATTAAAATAAACTTCATATTATGTTAATAAACTAAACAAATGTGTATTAAGCTCGAAAAATTTATACAAGTCGAATATTTATGATGTAAAACATACCCGTATCCTTCTCTATCAGATCGGAAGCCCCCTTCTCGGGCACCGAAGCCCCCGCGCTCGCCGTCGCGGCTGAAGCCTCCGCCCCCGCCGCGCTCTCTTCCACTGAAAAATACATTTATCATTTAAAAAAAAAACTTTTATAGAATTCTTTATAGTCTTCACTACTTGTAATTAAATTCAAAATAAAACTATTGTTATAAACCTAACGTAAGGTGTTTTAAATGCTTAATTTCAACCATTTTCTTGACACTCATAGTGATATATTAAAACAACATACCCTTCGCCATAACGATCGCGGCCATAGGAGTCCCGACCGCCGTACAAAGTCCTAGCTGGTTCAGCGGGCGCCTGTCGCTCCCCGTCGCGCCACCCACCCGGCTTGTTATCTACACTGGCTGCAAACATACCAATACTTAAATAAACTTTCATATTAAATTCAATGCAAAAACATAGCATTCAAAGTGTCACTCAGTAAGTAAAAGGAGCGAGCTAAAGACTAGTCTGAATCGAGTTACAGCATTGCTGTGTCACACATCGATCTAAAACAGCTGGTCACAGAGGAACTTTCAACGGCACTTGGGGCTTTGTCTCGTCCTAAGAGTCGTAAACTAGCCCTAGACCTATGTTTCTGGTGCCTCTGTCATTGCTGTAGGCAATGCTCCCTTCTAGAAGAGTGGAGAAAACAACTAACGACCTTTACTCAGACCTTCCCGAGACAAAACGAGTAATACAGATCATTGAATTCAAATACCAATTTATCAACATAAAATGTATATATAGTTATGTAATACAGTAAATTATTTAATATACTATTGTCATAGTACATAAATATATTTAAATAAATATGTATTAATCAATGATCGCTATACTCAGTATGTGTGTCCCAAGTGCGACATTTTAGCTCACTCCATTTTACTTAATATCATCATAGTAACACTGAAATATTTAATTAGCTTTTCTAGTAAGAGCACAATCATCTACATATTAATTAAATTAAATTGTGTCATTTTAATAGCAGATTTTGTATCATAAACGAGAGATCTCTTGAGAGATTATTCTTATTATGAAAATTTGTTGTAAAGTATGACTATACTGGAATTCAACAAATTCCACCACCAATCCAATCTTCCGAACCGACCTATACAATTATCCATTTACAATGTGGTCATCACAGACTAAACAAAAACAGACGTATCTGTTTCAACAAATTAAGCATAGACATTATTCATTCAAAATTAATCCATAGACAATAAAAGACAGGCTGCCAGTTAAGTGTATTCAATTCTATTGAATTCCACTACATATGGGTACGTGTAACTTACAGTCCCGTTCGCGGTCTCGTTCCCTGTCGCGGTCCCTGTCGCGCTCCATGGGGCGAGCGCGCGCCTGCGCCTCGGGCTGCGCGCGCGGCCCCGACCGCCAGTCGCCCATCGTGCGCTCCGGGTCGTAGTCCCTGCATCACATCTTACTTCATAGAAATTTCATTTAACAAAGGTGGAGCCCATGTTAACATTTTCGCATTGTAGGGTTAGCTCAAACAAAGTTTAATTTTCTTTTATCTCCAAGAGTGGATGAGAGTAAGGAAAGGGAAAAAATTGATCATGGAGGAGATGCTTCAGAAGGGGAAATATCCTCTTTATGTGCATCTCCTCATCCGTCTACTAAGTGTAGGCAACGCATCAGCAATAGCAGATGGCTATGGGCAGCGGATGCTTCGCCATTTTGGCGGATTCATGTTCCCGCTTGCTCATTTGCCAACTTATAAAAATGAAAGGAATTTTTATACAAAGGACAAACATTTGAGTTACAATAATCTTCACCTTGAAGAAAACAATACACATTTTTTCACCCATGCTTTTTATGGTATTCTTTTCACCCATGCCTTTTATGGTATTCTATCCTAATTGTTTACCTGCTTTTATCTGTACCTTTTCATTTGAGTTAGTTCATACAAAAAATGTTAGTCAGGGGTCTTTTAAAAAATTTACAAACCTATCGCGATCAGATCTGCCACTTCTACCCATGCGACGATCATTATCATTGTTGGAAACTTCTATTCTTATTCTTCTACCGCCAACTGTCTGTATAACGAAATAATATCAAATCTTACTAACATAAATGTGAAAGTTTAGATATGGATGAATATGAGGCTACTAATTAGGTTTTTAATTCCTCGCGTAGTCGCGGGCTAAAGCTTGTATTCTATAAAATTTTATTCCTTTAAAAAATACCATAAGACATTGGCCAGATAAATATTTACAAATGGAATTGTACTTATCTATTATTTTCTAAACATCATGACTACATAAACACAGTCATCTTAAAAGAAAACAATCCAATTATAAGCTATGTTAAATAAAATGCTTAGAAATAAAATTTGTCTGTACTATACACTAAATTAATAACAGAAAATGTTTATAATGGTAAAAAGACTGTTTTTAGTTTCAAATATCTCATTAACACATTCCATGTCTATAATTTAGTATGAAAGTTGATTTTACAAGGCAACTCGGTGGCATTGAATGAAAATGAACAAATGAATGAATGAAAAGTGAGCAAGTTACATACCAGATCTTCAATGTTCATTGCGCTAACAAGACTCTCTCTGTCTTCAAAATCCACATATCCATATCCTTTTAGTCGACCACCCTCTCTGGGTAATCTCAAATTAGTGATCTAAAACAAATAAGTTAATTAATTACTATAACATAAGGGTTTTCCTGCTGAAAAGTTTATCAATAAGAGGAAAAACAGTGGACTATAAATTCATTGTTATTACAATAAAGATTATTTAACAAGGTTATTCACGAATCTTAACAAAACTTTTCTTTCCATGACTCTTCACTGTCTTTAAATAGGATTATAAAGAAGTTATGTAATTTATAGTGAAGAGAAAGGCACAAAACCCTGAATAATACAACCATAAGCCTTATTCTCATTGAACTAGTGTCAGTGATAGGGTTTGGGTGCTGTGAGGTGATCGCTCAATCAAGAAATCTACAAATTACTCTTGAATAACACTCCTAAACCTTCATAAGTCATGGTAAAAGAGGGCTAGTAAGGCCAGAACAGGCACTCTTGAATTAATTAGGAAAAGGCTCCTACCTTGAGGCCCTCAAACAAATCAGCTATAGCACTCTCCTCTACATCATAAGGTAGGTTGGAGACATGTGCAATGTAGGGTGGTCGTCGTGGTATGCTCTCTTCGTCCACAGCCATGCCGCCGCGGGCTGCACGCGATGCTGAGGGTAGCACCACGGGCGCCCGCGAACGTGTGCTATAGCTGTAGCTTTCGGCTGCCAATAATACATTATATATTAGTTATATGCGGGTTACAAGTAATTTATTAGCAATAAAACCAGTTAGAAGATTTAAAAATATCTGATACAAAATTAACACAAAATATAGTCTCTAATGTTGCATTTAAATGTTACAAATTAAATCTTTAGACATTTCTTATGAATGCAGGATGTTTTTTCTAAACCACTGAAACAATTATTAATCATACTAATATTATAAAAGCGAAAGTTTAGATGGATGGATGTTTGTTAGAGTTTGTTGCCTAAATGGCTGATCAGTTTTTAATGACATATGGTATGGATGTAGAGGATAGTCTGGAAGAACACATAGGCTAATCATTGCTTTTTTTCTTAACCAAGCGAACGGAGTCGCGGGTGTAAGCTAATTTGAAATAAAACTCTTTCTGTCTCATTTGATTTGTTCTTAAAATGTGTTAAAAAAATACCATGTGTACATGGTAATTTTAAAATTACTTGCACCAAAACTTCATAGTAATATAGAATTAATCACAAAGTATAATGAAGTTAGTTAAAAGAAAGATTACACATGTTATTTATCAACAATTAAATACAAAAATCTACAGCTGTAAAATGATAGCAGACTATTTCATCACTTATCATATTTTATTATAATTATGTAAATAGTCAACTGACATAACAGGTTTATTCCACAATTACAAATTAAAATAGAAATTAAAGCTGTCACAATAATTTGTATTGATTGTGAAATACTTTTGTTCTTGACACTTTTGAAAAATAAAAAACAAATAACTATGTAAATTACAAGATTTTGATATATAATTGATAAACAATCAAGGGAAAGTATTCAAATTATTCAAATACATATTTTTACTAAATATTTAAATATCAAATATCTTTATAAAAATTGTTTAACAATAAAGTTTAGCCCTCAGTTATAATTGGGAGCAAGCCAATGAAAGACTAGTCTGAATTGAGTTGTGACCTTGGTCATCTCGTAGATTGAACTCAAATTGCTGGCTACAAGAGGTTTCAATAGAAACAATGCCTTTGCCTCCACCAAGCACCCCAGTGTTGACATCATAAGCTAAGCATTGCTCTAGATTTCTGGTACCCTCGCCTTCCCTGTTAGGGAAGCATCCGGCTAGAATGTGTTAAGAGCACAAGAGCCTTTACTCAGACCTTCCCGAGGCGGATTGAGTGACGAACACCCGTTTGTACGCCCCAAGTACGAGATTAACATTGACTTGCCATTACCCCTTACATCATCATAGGGCGATTTTATCACAATTAACAACTAAATATTAAATAAACAACTACTCACTTTCCTCATCTGCAGGGTCTGCCCAAGTGTTTGTGGTGCTTATTGTCGTCGGCTCCGCAATGATGACACCCATGTTGGCTTTGACCCATTTTGCTTTTTTTGATTTCTTGCCTGTAATTATTTAAAGTAGAAATGCGTAACCAGCAAGTAAGTGCTTAAATAAAGAGCAAATAAAAATGGCGAGTACATCAAAGGGCACATAACGATGACGCATAGTAATCGACCTGACGATTTTGGAAAGTGGTTATCCGTGGACATAATCTATGGAAAGCTTTTGTAAAATTTTAATAGTATATTTAAAAATGCAGGATGCAGATTATTGCCAAGAGAGGAATTTTGCAGAATTTCATTTGAAATAAAAGTTATAAAGGTGGCCACGCGGTAAATCCAAACGTCCGCAGAGGAGAAAAGTTGACACGTTAGCATTATTACTTAAGAAATTACAGGTTTTCAATTTACTGTAAAGTAAACCAACCGTAGTAACGCTAAATATAATATTCTAATCAAATAATTAAACAGGAAATTAAGCAAAATCTAAGGGTTTTACACATGACAAAATTAATAGAACTAACCTGTAGCGGCCATATTACAAGGCTGAGGCCTGGGTTGCCACTGATCGAAAAAAGTAATTTCTGCAGCATTGTTGCCAGAGATTAAAAAAAAACATATATTAGGGATGCCATGTAATTTAATTTGTAAAATATCCTCTTCTATTTATAATTACTCAATGATATTTTATCTCAAAAAGAGAGTTAAAAAGAAGACTATTGTAGTATTTTTGTAATTGTATGAATTGTAAACAGTGATTATCAAATGTTTGAAATTCTTGAAATGTTTGAAAACAAATGTTACAATCACTAAATATAATCTGAAACCATGCATTTCCACCTGACCTAACACATGTATACGAACGGTATTGTCATCTTTGTTAATTACGAGGAGAATGAGAAGGGTAGCACTACTGTTGTAAAATAATTTTTGTAATAGTGGAAGTTTGTGGAAACATATCATTATGCTATGCCTACACGATTAGTAAAAACGTTCATGAATATACCTAATTTTAAATGAGAAACGAAGCAGAATTTCAGTTTTTGACCCCTTTTTTCATCCAGAGCAAAGACAATCAACGTAAAGAAAACGGTGTTTTTTTAATCGAGTTAGTATTTGCGGCGTGATAATTTAAAGTGGTGTTGCTTACCCCAGAATACCACTGCTCTGACACTTATATTAATATTTTAATACATATTAAATTATTAAGTATGTCCCTTTTTGTCAACGAGAATGAACCTATCAAATATGTTTATTACTAGTTAACATTATAAGTATAGATAATGTGGGTGAAAGCATTTAAATAGTATTGTGTTGTTTTTTTACATGTATACTATACTATCTACCACTACGTCATATTCAAGGTTTATCCGGCATCCAACAGTAGATAATGTCAGATCGTCCATACTATTAACGAAATAATTAGGTAAAATGTGGCCATATCTATCTATTATAAGATTAAATAAAAAAATGATAATCAGTATTTTACAATAAACAGCTAGTCAAGTCTTTAAATATGGATCTGGATTGTGCAATAAATTAGGTAGTCTCAGACAAATTGAGTTGTTATACATGTTTAAATGGTGGTCCAGGTACAGTACCAGGCTCGCGTTGGTGCGATCTCGCTCACGTAATAAAATTAAAAGCATAATGTTAAGGAAGGTGGATTAAAAAAAAAACTAAAGAAACTCGTTCTATATTCTGAGACTTGTCGAGTCTCGAGTGTCCAAATCTCCGATTGCTTCGGGTGACTGGGCCAATACGGACGCCAAGACGAAACTTGCCGTTGTGCGGTCCCGGGGCGGCGGCGCACGGCAGCATGGCAAAGGCATGGCATTTGCGTCGCGGGCGCCTTTCGAACAGACGTGTAGCCGGCGCATTCGCATCTTATAAACATTGAATATCGAAACAGTTTTTTATCGAGCAGCGTTTTTATTTAGCCATATCGTCGGCTGTCTGGG